AAAAACACACTCAACAATCACAAGCAATGCCAAAATCTTATCTGCCTCAGTTTCATAGACTATTAAATGAAAGCAAAGGATACTTGCTTGCCCCAATCACCTACTGAGAGCAAAGTGAACACACTAAAAGTACTTTAGTGATCCAAATGCTATATGAAATCATTTTCTATTAGAAGTAGTGATGATATAAGTAAGCTAAATCAGTCTGGTTTAGCCAGAAGGCTTAAGGAGAGGTAGCCAGTTTAAGTTTATGGAAGCCCTAACTGGCCATTTCACTAGAACCAGTAATTGTTATGACTAACTATGGTTATAACTACACATAAGTGGAAGTGACACACAAACACACATCCCTTTTATAGAAGTAGGCAAATATGAAGTCACTAAATACCAAACCATGAATACCTTTCTTTTATGAATTTTAAATTCAGGTGTTTTCTTTTGTCACTTTCCTGAGATATCTTTACTAGGTAAATTTCATTTTATCCTTTTCATATACTGCAGGATTTTTTTGTTTGTTTTTTTCCTATTTTTTATTTTTATTGAATTTATTGGGGTGACATTAGTTAATAAAATTATATAGATATCAGGTGTACAATTCTATAATATGCCATCTGTATATTGTATTGTGTTCACCATCCAAAGTCAACTCTCCTACCATCACCAGTTGTCCCCCTTTTATCCTCCTCTACCTCTCCCCACCCCCCTTTCCCTCTGGTAGTCACCATACTGTTGTCTGTGTCTATGAGCTTGTTTCTATTTTGTTAATTTGTTTTATTCATTAGATTCCACATATAAGTGAAATCTGGCTTGCAGTTTTCATACCTTTCTAACTAGTGTTATTCCCCAGTTATCTTCTATTATCATTCTGTTCATTTTCATCCTAGTACTACTTATCACAATGGGTAATTAACCAGGTAATGTTTGTTCACTCATTTACCTAACCAGATCTAAATTCTGGGTCATCTTGGATCTCATCTAAATTAATCCCACCACTGTATCCCAGGTGCCTACAATAGTGCCTGGTTCATACAGGTGCTCAAAAAATATTTGTTGAATGGATGGGTGAAGAAATTTGTCCTCACAGTAACAGTAAAGTTAATCCAAACTTCTTAGCATGGCATTCAAGGCTCCAGCTTACTTATTTGGGCTTATATTCTGCCCTTTTTACACCTCTATATATTATGTCTGTTGATATCTCTGTAAAATGTTGCTTTCTGCCTGGAATGTTTCTTCCTATCAACTAACTAATCTTTCAAGACCCTCTTCAAACACATGAAATCTTTTCCAATCCTCCACAAACACACACACACACACACACAGAGAATGCTTCTTCTATTAAGTTCTTATAAGAGCTATAACACTTCTATTATAGGGTTATAACAGAAATTTAAAAATAATAGCAGTAATAACATTTTATTGAACAGTAACTCAATGCCAAGCATAGTAATAAGCACTGTATATATTATTATCTCATTTAATCCTGAAAACTACTCTAAGAGATAGACGCTATCATAAGTCCTTAGGGGTATGTTTAGCTAGCTAAAATCAAGGCAGGGATGGTGCCTTAAAGCCTTGCTAATTCTCAAACCTCACAAAGAATCTACACTGCTATATGTCCTTAACATAAATTTGCTAAATAATGAATTTTGACAGTAGTTTCTGGTCCCCTAACTTTACTTTGAGAATGGCAATTCCAATCAGTTAAAAAAGAACAGAGAGTAGTTTTAAGTAATTATACAAATTTAACGTTAAAGTGATGCAGTCCTTTCTAACCACAACTAGGAACTCAGAAGTGACAAAAGAAAAGGGTGATATACCTAGCTATATAAATTTTTAAAATATCTGTAGATTATTTTTGTTCATAGTAAGTAGGTTATTTTATATTTTTAAATACTATTTTTATTTTTCAATTACAGTTGACATACAATGTTATATTAGTTTTAGGTGTATAACCCAGTGATGGGACATTATACAACTTACTAAGTGTTCCCCCCCAATATTTCCAGTACCCACCTGGCACCATACAGAGTTATTGCAATATTATTGACTATATTTCCTATGCTGTACTTTACATCCCCATGACTATTCTGTAACTATCAATTTGTACTTCTTAATCTCGTGACTTTTTTTCACCCAGTACCCCAACCCCCTTCCATCTGGCTACCATCAGTCTGTTCTCTGTGTCTATGAGTCTGTATCTGTTTAGTTTGTTCATTTATTTTGTTCTGTAGATTCTAAATATAAGTGAAATCATATGGTATTTGTCTTTCTCTGCTTGATTTATTTCACTGAGCATAATACACTCTAGGTCCATCCATGCTGTTGTAAAGAGTAAGATTTCATTCTTTTTTATGACTGAGTCATATTCCATTGTATATATGTACCACAGCTTTTTTATCCACTCATCTATTGATGTGCATTTGGGTTGCTTCCATAGTTCAGCTAGTATAAGTAATGCCACAATGAACATAGGGGTGCATACACTCTTTTGAATTTGTGTTTTGGGTTTCTTCAGATAAATCCCCAGAAGTGAAATTGCTGAGTCATAAGGCAGTTCCATTTTTAGTTTTTTGAGGAACCAGCATAATGTATTCCATAGTGGCAGCACCAGTCTGCATTCCCACCAACAGTGCATGAGGGTTCCCTTTTCTCCACATCCTTGCCAACACTTATCATTTGTGGATTTATTGATGGTACCATTCTAGCAGATGTGAGGCGGTACCTCGTTGTGGTTTTAACTTGCATTTCTCTGACGATTAGTGACTTTGAGCATCTTTTCATGTCTATTGGTCCTCTGTATGCCCTCTTCGGAGAATTGTCTATTCAGGTCCTCTGCCCATTTTTTTTTTTAATTTTATTTATTTATTTTTTTGTTAATCCTCACCTGAGGATATTTTTTCCATTGATTTTTAGAGAGAGTGGAAGGGAGGGAGGGAGAGAGAGAGAGAGAAATACCCACATAAGAGAGGTACATTGATTGGTTGCTTCCCGGACACACCCCAGTTGGGGCTGGGAATCAAACCTGCAACCCAGGTATGTGCCCTTGACCAGGAATTGAACCCAAGACCCTTCTGTGCGGGGGCTGACACTCTAACCACTGAGCCACACTAGCCAGGGCCTCTGCCCATTTCTTTTATTGATTTCAGAGAGAGGAAGGGAGAGGGAAAGAGAGAAACATCAATGATGAGAGAGTCATTGATCAGCTGCCTCCTGCACACCCCCTACTGGGGATTGAGCCTGCAACCAAGCAAGGCATGTGCCCTGACCAGGAATCAAAGAGTGATCTCCTGGATCATAGGTTGATGCTTAACCGCTGAGCCATGCCGGCCAGGCATCTGCCCATTTTTTCATTGGGCTGTTTGGTTTTTTGGTGTTGAGTAGTATGAGTTCTTTATAAATTTTGGATTTTAACTCCTTATCAGATGTATCATTGGCGAATATGTTCTCTCATTTAGTGCACTGTCTCTTCATTTTATCGATGGTTTCCTTTGCTGTGCAAAAAGATTTTAGTTTGATGTAGTCCCATTTGCTTATTTGTCCTTCTATTTCCCTTGCCCAAGTATTTGTAGATTAAAAAACAGTTAACAAAGGCAAACGAGAAATGGAAAAAATATATTTAACCTATATTAGACAAAAGATTAATAATATCATATAAACAGAAAACTTCACCCCCAAAAGAAATTTAAATGGTTAGTAAACATGAAAATATGCTCAACCCCATTAATTTAAAAAGGCAAAATTTAAATCAATAATGGGAATTTATTTATTTATTTATTTATTTATTTATTCGTTTGTTCGTTTGTTTTACTCATCATATTGTAAAGATGAAAGAAAGAATTCTAATATTCAGCACCCGTAAGGCTGTAGGGAAATAAGCAATCATCTACACTCATGGTCCAGAAACACTTTCACGTACATAAAACATATTTGTGTACACATATACTACCACACACACAACATTGTTCATTACAGCACTGTTTTTAATAGCAAAACACTGGAAACAACTGAAATGTGCATCAATAAAAGCTTGGTTAAATAAACTACGGTACAGCTATACTATGAAATTGTATGCAGCCACTGAAATAATGATGTTACTGGATAGCCAAATAATAGATGAGGGGAACTCTCATTTTATAAATGTATTCCAGATTCTAAAAGAAACTCAGTTATAAAAAAATGAGAAAGGATTTGAACAGACACTTCATCAAAGAGGATATAAGGTTGGCAAATAAGCACATAAAATGATGGTCAACATCATAAGCCATTAGGGAAATTAAATTAAAACCATGATGAAATAACACTACATATCTATTATAATGGCTAAAATAAAAATTACGGAACATACCAAGCTGTCAAGGATACCAAACAAATGGAACTATCATATATAGCTAGTTTGGACACAAAATGGTACAGCCACTCTGGAAGATGGTTTGGCAGTTCCTTAAAAAGCTCAACATACATTTACCACATGACCCAGTGACCCTACTCCATGGTATACTACGCAGACAGAAAAAGGAATCAACAAATTGGATAAATCTCCAAGGGATCAAGCTGAGTAAATGAAATCAGTCTCAAAAGGTAACATACTATGCAGCTCCATTTATTTTAATCCTCACCCAAGGATATTTTTAGAGTCAGAGGAAGGGAGAGGGAGGGGGGAGGGGGGAGAGAGAGAGAGAGAAAGACAAAGAGAAAAAGAGAAAAAGAGAGAGAAACATCGATGTGAGAGAGGAACATTACATGGTTCCATTTTTATATGACATTCTTGAAAATGAAAAACCATAGGGGCAGAGAATAGATCAGTGGTTACCAGAGATTGGGGGTAGGGAAGTCTGATTGCGAAGGGAGTGTATCCTTTCTGTATCCTGTCGGTGGTAGTGGATACCAGATTCTATGCATGGGTTAAAACTGATAGGATTATGCTCCAGAAAATAAATTTTATTATACATACATTAAAAATATTTTTTAAAATGATAAATTTTCATCAGCAATAATGATACCTTCTATTTCTCCATCTAAGGGAGGAACATCATCTCTCATAGAGAAATCCATAGCTGTCCCTGGTATGTCCATCAAGTCTTCATCACCAGAGCTGCTCTGGAAGCTATTGAAACACCCCTGCTGAAAGCCTCTATTATCCATGGCTCCTGTACAAAAAGAAAAAGAAGAGACTTATTATAATGAACTCCAAGCCCCTTACCATTTATTCTTTTTAAAAGTGTGGTAAATACACATAACAAAATTTACCATTTGACCCATTTTTAAACTAGACAATTTAGCAGCATTAAGTACATTTACAATGTTGTGCAATCATCACCAGCCATTTCCAGAATTTTTTCATTAACCCAAACAGAAACTCTGTACCTAGCAAATATAGCTCCCCAGCCCCATATAACCTCTATTCTCTTTCTGTCTCTATGACTAGCTGATTCTAGATATGTCGTACAAATGTAATCATATAATATGTGGTTTTTTGAGTCTGGCTTCTGCTTTTCATAATGTTTTCAAGGTGTATTCAGGTTATAGCATGTACCAGAACTTCACTTCCTTTTAGGACTGAATAGTACTCATTGTATGGCTATACCACATTTTGTTTAGCCATTCATCAGTTGATGGACATATGGGTAGTTTTCAGCTTTTGGGTTACATTTATTCTTATGTCTTTTTTCATACTCTTATTTTGACAATATAGACATACAAACTACTTAGTATATTCAGTTACCCTCCAGATGTAATGTACCTTTATCCTTACCATGTAGCTGATAGTAGTTTTTTGGGAACAATGCAAACAAACAAACCAAATGAGGACATATGTACAAAACTCATAGTATTTCACAAGTAATCAATTAAAGTAAAAACTACACATCAGTACTGAGAAATGTGCTAGCCATTTAGGAGTGAAGAAACATTATCTTATGCCTCTGAGTCTCCCAGAGCTCCTAACAGAACATAGATGTGCAGAAATACTGGAAGAAAGAGGCATACTGTGCCATTCAATGTTGTTCTCTGCTCAAGGATATGAAAAATAAAACACTTTTTACATTCCAAGTGTAAATCTTCAGATAGGAATTTTACTCAAAAAATCTTAGTATATTGATTTTTTTAAAAAACATCATTATAGCCAACTTTACGTTATCTACCCTAACCCCCTCCAATTTTTTTAAATGAAATCTTGATTGAGAATCATAGTCAGCAAGTTCCTATTGGATTAGGCAAATAATATTCCTTTTGAGGTATTCCAACACTTTTAAGAAACTTCTTACTCTAGGTTATCAGAATCATGTGTGACAAATGTGGCAAAAACTAAATAAGACAAATTAAGCAATAGGCCTGAAAAATTGGAATCATAGCAGATAAATTAAATATTTTAAACCTTTTGAATAAAGGAAAAGAACCAATATGTACCAGGTACTTATCAATTTTCAGGCTATGTACTTGGGAGCTCTTTCACTTAATTTTTCCAAAGTTCTTATGCTATGGCATTATCACTCTCAGTGCAGATAAGGAAACTGAAGCTCAGAGAGGCTAAGTAATCTGCCCAGTTAGTACTAAAAAAAGTTAAACTCTAAATCATGTGTTCAATTTCACAATACCTTACTTATAATAAAGAGACCAGCCTGACTGAAGTGTGAGTGACATTTATAAACCACCTACTATGTACAAATCACTGTGGGATAGTGGGACAGATACAAAAATGATGCTGGGTAGGCCAGATGAGATGAAGATTGGGAGAGAAAGATTTGGGAGTTAGCAACATCAAGGTGATGTTTGAAACCAAGAGAACAGATATTCCAAGGGAGCCCTGCCACTCACTTATGGATAAGGATGAATATAAATAAAAGAAATGCATTCCTAATATCCTTCCTTAATATGCACAAATAACTTGAACTCTGTGCAGATGTGAAGTAAACAATAGGTTCCCCAGGAACATTACCACGTTGATGTGGTAACATATGGTCATATAGGAAAGGTAGGGTCATTTATTCAAAGGTACCAATAATGTACAAAATTACTGATCATCAAACCATTCCCTCAGCTACAAAAACTCTAACTATGCTATGTGGATCAAGTGAGTCCTAGGACACTAAGAATTCATGCTTTGTGGTCTTAGCAGAGCTTCTTTGCTGTTCCCCAATCCTTCATCCTCAATGGACTCTTCCCCCCGCTCTATCCTGCTTCCTTCACTCCCCTTCTCCAAGCCCTCCTGCAATAATGCATTTACACAAATTCCCTGTCTCAGCTGTAATTCTAGGGAACCTGACCTACCACAGGATCCTTAGCAGTTTTTTCCTATTACTAACAACACATAAGAAATCCTGAATCTGTCTCCCCTCCTTATCATTCAGGGAGAGGTGTATTTACTCTAGTTGAAAGAAAAAAAAAGAAAAAAGCTCCTCTACTTTGCTACTTTGCTCTGGATATGACTGAGATAGCAGCTCCTTCCCCACCTTACTCTGATTTACAGAAGCTCCACTCCTTATCTCTGGGGAATATGTTCCAAGACCCCCAGTGGATTCCTGAAACCAGGTAGTACCAAACCCTCATATACTGTTTTTTCCTGTACATAATACTTATAATAAAGTTTAATTTATAAATGAGGCACCATAAGAAATTAACAATAACTAATAATAAAATAGAACAATTATAACAATATGCTGTAATAAAAGTTACGTGAATATGGTCTCTCTCTCTCGGATAATGTATATGGCAACTGAGGTAGGTAGTGGATACAGTGTTGATATGCTGGACAAAGGGATGATTCACAGCCAGGGTGGGATGGAGCAGGACAGCACAATAGTTCATCATGGTACTCAGAATGGTGTGCAATTTAAAACTTATGAATTATTTATTTCTGGAATTTTCCATTTAATATTTCTGAACCACAGTTGACCGTGGATAACTGAAACATGGGAAGTAAAACTGGATAAAGGGGGAACTACTGTACTTAATTTTATCCTTTAAGGAAACCAACTATCTCTAGCTCTCACTTGTACCTCAAGCACCAGTCCTGAATTCCCAAGAACTCCACTTGACACTTCTGTAGCTGCTTCAAACTTAATCAGATAATAATGGGGGGAGGAACAGTGGAAATAACTTTAACTTAAGTACAAAAATTAAAATGCAAACAAGGCATGTTCCCTGTCCTCACCCTCCACATCAACTTTCCTTTTAAAATGCAGGTGGCATTAGAGTAAATATTTGCAGTTAATATTTGTCTAACTCTGGGATTTACTACATTCAATGAACCTACAAAAAGCACTTTAATGTCAAGAATAGGTATTCTGGGTTTCTAGAAATCTTAGCTGAAAACAAGCACCATTTTAGCTGATGAGAAGAACTGAGTCTAACAGGTTGGCACACCTCAGGAGGTTTTCTTTTTGTTTAAATTTATTAAATGCCCATGAATTCCATATAGTGACTAGCACTGAAAGAAAGCAAGACAATTTGCAAGATGATGCAGAATCCTTTCTCTTTCTCTGCACTGTTTACATGTCTCATTCAGGAAATGATTTAAAATACATAGTTCTAGCAACTCTATTAACCACACTAATCATAGAAAGAAAATGCATGGGGAGTCCAAAAATAATTTATATTTGGCTGCGAGACATGTCCTGTAGTCATATTTTCAGATGGGTATAACTATTGTTCTGGGAATTCATTAAAACAAAGTAATGACGATACAAGATGAAGAATGAACAAAGGGGAAGCTGGAAAACTTACCAGTTTCCCCATAGGGACCTTACAAACTCCTTCCTGTAACCCACTGACACAGAACAATTCAGCTAAATTGAGCTGCCGCATTCCAAACATTTCCTGGAGCAGCTACCTGGTTTACTGTTTTGGTTATAAAGCACTTCCTTAATTATATAGAAATAAAGGTCAACAAAAGAAAATTAGAAGAAGCAAGTAAATCAAGCAAAACAGATGTTATAAATGGGAGTTCAACAAAAGAAACAAATACAGTCAGGAAAACTCAAAGTGATATTTTCCCATGGATAATCCATTTTGGTTCAGTCTTTGGTTTTATTTCGCAGATATTAAGAGGTTCAAGAGAAAAAGTTAAAGCGGCAGAAAAATGAGGAAAAGTTTTTTAAAGCTGAGATTTGAACTTGCATCTAGTTGAATTGTAAGCTCAGTGTTCTTTCCATAACACTTTGGGGCTTCACTATGACACGTCATTCTAAAGAATGGGACATCTGGAATAAATCAAACTTCTAGATGGCCACAAGCCTGAGGTCAGCCAGATTTTATGGTAGGCCAAGAACAAAGTAAGGGAATTTGACTTATTACCCCAGCTGGTGGATTACAAATAGACTTTGTCATATAATGGAAGCCTAGGGAGAAGAATAAGAAAAAAATGTTTTTGTGGATGTGTAACATAACTGACACTTTCAGCTTAAAGGCACTAAAGTGCATTTTGTCACTTTCTTGCTTAAAATCATAAACTGGTTGCCCATGGCTTATAGGGTCTAGTTGAAATTTCTTTTCATGGCATTCGGGGTCCTATCAAATATAGATCCCATCTACCCAGATAGACTTACCTCCTACTACAAATTTGTTATACACCACATAGGCCATGCACTTCTTTGCCTCCATGACTTTGTTTAGACCAGATACTCTATCTGGAATTTCATCCAGCTCCCTATCCTCTTTTCAGCCTGGTAACATTCCAGTCAGTCCATCTAGGGCCAGTTCAAACAGGCTTTTTCTTCAAAACCCCCTTTGTACAGACATCTATGTTGACTGCATCATCTCTTCCACTGAGTCTTGTGACTACATATATACACCATGTCCTTCTCATTTCTGTTGTTCCAGCAACTTTAGTGTTCCAGAGTATATGTTCAATAAATGCTTATTGAGAAGGATTCCAGTTGGACAGGAAGGGTTAACAGCCAATCAGCATATTTACATGGCTGACACTCAATAAATCTATGCCTGTACTGTGAGGGTAGGGAATTGGGGATACAAAAATCATTTGTTATATTTGTCACCACTCTCAAGGAATTTATGACCTAGTTGAGAAGAAAAGTTTTACATAATGCAATTACACAACAGTTAAGTATTAAACTTTTACAATAAACACGCAATTGACATTCAGAAAATGGAGATGAGATTGTAAGCTAGAGAGGGCTTCGGGAAAGAGAGA